TTGAACATACAATATAGGCTTTTTAGTGGAAATTTTGAGTCCACGTGTATGGTTCTTACAGAAGAATTTTCTTGAACGTAACCAGAGACATCTCTCAAATACCAAACCGAAGGAGCGCGAGCAATAATTTGTATCCCCCTTAGTAGATATGGGTCTAGTCGGTTTCCGCAGCTTAGTCTCATAATATAGAATTAACCCCCTCCACCTGTGTTCCCTTTTACATTTACTTTACGTCTACAATTTGCATTACGCTTCCCTTTAAATAAACTGGAACACCGTATCTGCTAATTTAGTGCCTTAGAGGTTCACGAAAAGAATCTTTGATAAACCCTGGCAAGGGCGTTGTGTGCTCCACATAAATTCAAGTGACACGCTCCTTTCGGTAAATGTCTCCCATAAACCAAAATTATCAACTATGTTTCAGGTTTTTTATAACAAAATAGCACGTTTCTTGATTGAAAGAGAACTAATAATATTGAAAATGTTGCAATGGTTGTAACAGGAGGATTTTTTTCGAATTTTTGTAGGACAGTACGTTTTTTTAGGTTTTTTTAAGTATTAGGGTGTATACAGGAGGTTCCGTTAAAGAGCTGGTATATTCCAAAATTCCAAAACCGACCCGCTACGTAAGCCAGAGTCTAACGCCAGTAACTTGGGCCCATTCCACGAATCCTAAAGAGACGGTGATCCTGTTTTCCAGATTGAACTGCTCAAGGGGTAGATTTAGCATCTGCATAAATAAGCTAAATTGTAAATTTTGTTATATCAATATGAATTGCGTCCTTCAAGAAATTTTACGAGTAAAATTTTGAAGTTAAAAAACAGATCCAAATCCAAATGTTGCATAGATTTAATAAAAAGATAAAATTGTAACTTTCCAATGAGATCTCCGAAAGATCTGCAAATTCCCAGTTAGAACTGTAAATTCCTGGAAATATTTGAAAACTCCTTCTAATTAGAGATGTTAAATTACACGTTTTTTTAAAGTGCGTAATATTACGTGTAAAATTACCAATTGTTTATGTTTTTTATGTATTTTATAAAATTTATATAACTTACCATTTTAAAAAAAACGAAATTTTGCAGTAAAATTACCAGTAATTTATGTTTTTTATGTTTTTTTAATATTCCATAAACCTTTTGAATTTTGTGAGGGTTTAAAAACAAAAACAGTTGTTAAATTATATATTTTGGTGTATTAAATAAAATACCCAAGTAGTGGGTATTTCGCCATCACGCGTCGTTTGGAAGAAGAAGTTCCAGATCGCGAATTAGATGCTGTATCATCTTCATTAAACCAAAGTAGATTCAACGGTGAATCCTTTACGTTGGTAGTACCGTTGATGGTCTATGGTAATACCGATCAAAATGTATCAAATAGGTATTACATTGATGTAACTTACAAAAATTACGGTTTTTTAAATAAAAAACGTAAGTTACGTAAATTACATTAAAAATTAAATAAATTACATTAAAAAAAACCGATCTCTTGTAAGTTACCCGTAATATAACCGTTTTTTTATGTAACTTACAAATCGTTATTTTACAAACCACATCACTACTTCTAATACTCAGATATGAGTGTAAATTAATAAGAAATAATTGTATGCCCTTTTGCGTTTACCTATAAGAATGGAAGCTTTAGCAATTGGATCATTACTTACACGTGTGTATTATACGTATACTATACGCCATAAAATTTTAATTTCTAAAATTTACAAATGTTATTTTAAAGCACCAATCCACAAAAGGCGATAAACGATAAAACACGAATTCTCTTAAAACATATTAAATCGCGTAAAAGTACATTCATCCCAGGTATTCAAAATTTTACTGTTGAAATGGTCGGACTCGTAAAAATTGCTCGCTGGAAATTCCACCTCTTGGGTACCCGTTGAGCATAACGTAAACGTTAACGAAACCTCCCAGTTTACATCTAGTTATTTTGTGCTTCCGTTTTAATGAACCAAGTTTTCTTCGAGGAACTCTATTACAAAGTCAACGAAGCAATATACGCCACTAACTTGAATTCGTATTTCATTTTTATTGCAATGGGCTTAATGCTTATTTTGAGGATAACTGGCTTTAAAACGATAAGTTGCTGTAAGTATTATAGTTATAATGGAATGAGGGTTAAATAATATAAGATTATTAACCCGTACTTATGAACGTTCGAAATCGCTGAGAAGGTGATTTCCCAGACGCAGTGGGAACACGAGGATGTTTTAGAAGACATAAATTGTTATAATTAAACTTGGGCGTGAGTATTCTGGATTCGTTTGTGCAAGCTAGGAGAGTAGTTAACAAAAGGTGTCGAGAAAGTCTAACTAGACAGCACTTGTAGGTAGTAGCATCAGAGCGTTTACAATGCAAGCGCGTAGGAAACGTTAATCATCCCCAGCATACGAAATGAGAGAGAAATTGAATTTATTAAGAAAACATATATACTCGTATCATGTGCGTGCATGCGTAGTTGTGTTGAATAAATTAGGTTCGTTATTATTTAAATCTCGTTACCAAAACGTATCTATTATGAGCAGTCCAAAAGAACTCGAGTAATTTAAGAGATAAAGTGTAGCATAATAACATACTTTATTTCGTGCATCCTAGATACATGCAGTATCAGCTAAAAAAAAGATAATAAAAAAGTTAACGCCATTAGAATTGGAACAGTGCCAAGTGCCGCCAGAAAAGCTACCCAAACAGTATATTGATGTTATTCTCTTGATAGAAACTCGACTCGTAAAATGTAGGTTGTGTAATTCATTTATCGCTAAGCTTCGATCGCTCTTTTTTTCCCCCATTGTTACGCAAAAAGCATTTGGAAAGAAAAATAAAACTTGCAAACAATAGTTTACCGCCCATTAACTCGCGACCCCCACATAATCTCACAAGAAGAGCTGGTAACTTTAAATAATGTTCAGGTGTAAGGGAAGCTTGGTAATGGGATCTCAGATCCGCACTTACAAAATGAAAGCATATTTTCTCTGGAAACGCCCAAAATATTTCGCCAACGCAATTTTTCATTCAAATTTCCTTGATGTCAGTTACTTTTATAGGTTTCACTGACGTTTTTATTACCATGATTTTTATTTTCTGACATTTCCTTTTTATTCGCTTCAGATAAAATTGCTTATGAAAAGGTAATGCCGTGATATTTATCAAATGTTCAAATTGAATGCGTAATTGCAGCTAACGGCATCACTCCAAGTTATGGAGGGTTGGAGAACCTGAAACTGTCCTATGGTACTTGTATAAAATTAGTACAGATACGCTGTAGTCGGTTTGGGTTCCCAATATATCATTATAGCTGAATCTCTTTACACCTTGACAGCCAAATCGTTCCAAATTTTTTCCGTTTTATGCGCGTTTTAGTGGAAAAAGAAAAGATAAATAAATTATAGAAAAACGAAATTTACATTATGTTGCTAAAGTATGCAAGCCTCCATATATGCAAGAAATTTAAACGATATCGGCGGGTTACTTTAAAAGCTTGATAATTGTTTGTGTTTCTGATTTTATCCATTCACATTCGCAAATTTCTATTAAATTATAACCAGCTTCTTCTATTAAAACTGCCTTCAATGGTTCATTGATCAAATCATTTATAGATTCTTTATTTTTGTCTGATTTGAAACATTTTTCCCCATCGGGTCAAAAGAAACCATGGATTAACTGTATTAGTTACTTCATCAGATGAATGAAGTATTCGATAGTTTCCGATAACGGCCCACAATTCATCTCCGTTACCAGGGATACCGCACCCCGACACTGGGTGTGTTACCATTAGACGACGCACCCATCTTCCAGTCCAAAGCCAACCCAGTGGAGAGGCGGAACCAGGAAATCAAAATGATACACCTCGACGGGGAGACTCCCCAGATGTGGGACAATAACCTTCCCATCATCCTGTTCACCCTCCGGACGAGAAAAAACGCCGCCACGGGATCGACGCCCATCAACGCCCTGCTAGGATATGAACTTCTCAGGCCAGGAGAAGGCATGCGACTGAAGCCACGGCAGCTCACAACGGTGAAGGTGAAGAACGCGAGGAACGGATCCGGGCGGTACACCGCAACGGATCCAGCTAATCGAACTTTAGACCAACCAGGGTGTACTCGTAGTTCTAAGTAGGGGACGAAGTAATGGAGAGATCCCGAAACCACGCAGTGGGGGAATTCCAGTTAAAATGGAAAGGGCATATTGAGTAATCACCAACGCATGCAGAAACGAGACAGAGAACAGGTGAAGATCTACATTCATGACCAACGATCAGCACCCAATCGCACCATCAAAACCCTTTTACAATGACCCGCTTCATTTATCCCATCCTGAATATACTCATGTAAAGCAGTATTTATGATCTTACTTTATTTACATCTGAAATAAAGTTGCATTTATAACCGCGCGTATTACTAAACTTTCAGTCGATTGTGCACAAATATAATTTCTTTATATGTCATGACGCTTGCCGTCGGATCATCTAAATTTTTATTGGCCGTGTTTGATTCAAATCAAGTGAGCCATTTATTATACGAGGCTTTTTTTATCAACATAGTGTATCAATCAGTACTTTCTAGTACGTTTGGACGACCAACGGATATCACTATCAGCGCTGTATAAATAAGGTTCTTCTATTCAGGTAGTAATAAACCCATTTCTTTAAGGGTGTTGGAAATTTAGATTCCTTTTATCAATTGAGGAGGGACTCTTAAAGAGTCAGTCATTTACTTTAACCGGTTTTGAAAAAAAATCAAAAGCAAATTTAAAGAATTTCGTTCAACCTCTATATTTGAATTTGACATAGAATGAACATTATTTTTTGTATTATCACCGAGGGCTGCAAATAATAATAATAATACTTTATTATCCTGGCGGAGACCAACTGTAAGCTGTTTGTGATGAAGGGCCGAGTTAAACTTGATAGACGGTAAAAAGAGGTAATCGAAAAATATTTTACCCCCGAAGGAATTAAACCAAATTTAACGTAAAAAACTTACCACAGAAAAAAAGGTAGCCAACACAACATAAATGCCCCCATAATTATTCCTAGAGTTCTTGCAGCCTTGTGCTCTGCTCTCCAACTTTTTGACTGTTGTCTAAGGGTCGAAGTACCTGCAATTAAAATTGAAATATATGAGTCAAATATAACACAGAACATAAATGTGCTGCCCCAAAACAGAATAAATTCATCGATTCAGGATTGTCTCCAAAACGTAATCCGTACACGATTTAATTAAAATTTAAGTATAATTTTCCAATCAATTAGACGGATGATTAATAGCAAGCCGATTATAATGCTAGGCTGGTTTTCTTATAAAATTCCATCTTTTAATTACCAATCCCAGAGAGATGAAATTTTAAGATGTCTAACCAATTAAAATTCATAAAGCAGAGGTAAGCGATTAATATAAAAAATTCGAAATTAATTAAAATTTATTGATCGCGCGCGACGAGAAGGATTCATATTGGAAATACTGAAACGAGAATTAGAGATAGTGTGTGTTCTCATGCGAGACTTAAAATAAGGATGCACTTTCAAGTTACCACCAGCATATTTTCTCTCTTAAGAAATAGAAAATTCCGAAAGGGAATTCGCAATATTCGGATCGGAGTTGTTCAACCTACATACCAAGTTTTATCCTACTATTTCCTGGATCTTAGCACATCCAACATTGGAATCGCCTAATCGATTGACTAGACGTTAAGTGTGAATTGAATTACGCACGCACCCTTAAAATTTATAGAAAGAGATCATGCCTATCAGAATTTGGTATAACAACCTTTAATAGAATCAAAAGAATGTGGATATGTGTCTAGTCCTTAAACATGATGAATTTAATTTTCGGTGCAGTACTTCCGTATCCTTGCACTTTACCACTACGCCTCTACGGTACAGTGCTATAGAGAAATCGTTCCATCCGCCCTATTATTTAGGCTTTACAAGTCGCTATACTTAAGTACCATAAAGGAAAGTAACGACTGTAAAGTACACCGATTTGGATAATCTTTTTAAGCAAAACACGCTACTAACTTACAAAATAACACCGAAAATGAACCTTTATTCTTAAGTAAATTTGTAATTTAATATAAAAGAGGTAATCAGGCTTGGTTTAATAAAGTTTATCTTCAATTTGCTGGAGGCCCTATCAAAATATTGCCTTAATAAATAACCCAATTAAAGTTAATTACTGCGTCGCAAACACCTTGAAGTGCACAACATAAAAAAATATTGAGCCGAATCCGAACGTTTCAATTCTGTAAACATCGCGAAAGCAATAACGACCGAAATATAACGCTGAATTCTCTCTCTTAATGTAATATTCCTTAATGGCCGTCACCGACATTAATCCACTTTTTAGAGCGTTTCGCTTCAAATATTCCACTCGCCGATAACAACGCGGTCTAAATTAATGCTATCTCGTTAGGTTTTGTTCCAAATAATTTTGAGCTTAAAATTACAGGCGTAAATAATTGTCTAGACCGCGCTATAAAAGCTCGATGCGTTAATAACTAACAAATAATCTGGTGGAATTATGATCTACCCTCGGATGTCTATAAAAGTGGACAACATCGTCAGATGTTAATGGTATTTGTGATAAATGGAATAAGCAGACGGACCTTCTGCAGTGGAAGCCTAGTAAAATGACATTGAGAGTGGGAAAGATTTATTATTTAAGAACCGTGATAAATAACTACTGGCATTTTCCTTGATGGGAAGAATAACGTTTTCTTATTATTGATAAATGGCGGCGTCTGGGGCAATCGGCCCTGTAATAATTCCATCTCGTTCACATTGGCATCTATGGATGAAATTTGACAAATAGCATTATTTCTAAAATCAAGAATTGGGGGCAAAGTAAAACCAAACGGTTCAATTGTACATTAACTGTCATGTTTTTAATACATACGTGCAAACGCAGCTTACATAGTAATCTCATAATGAATCTTTCTTACGAAGATGCAGGAAAATGTTTAATCAAATTACAAAGGAATGGGAACCACCGAGTTACTAACTACTTTTCTTGAATTTAACGTCACGTTTATGATTGTATACCCAGAAATTCTAAGGATAACCCGTGGTCGATAAAAATTTTACTTTTGCTAGTGTTAAAATTATTAATTCTTTGTGAGCTTTAATATACGATTACCTCCGTATCAGACGTTAGAATTGCTATTTCGTAATATTTTATGTGCCGCACTATTCACTACCTCTCTTATTTGTTTGTTTGTGTTGTCACTGTCACAGATTGGGATGAACGCGCCGTTCTGAATTCAGACGGCATCGGCAGCTGCTACGACCATAGTTCAAAAGGAAATTTTTTTATTTCGTCGACTCCTTGATTAACGTTTGATTACATATTGGTTTTCAATGCAATCGAAATGTAATTATTAAATTTGCTTGATTTTTACTTAACGATTATAGGTACATACGTTATTTTCAACGGAAGCCTGTTTTCGCTGAAATACCACACGTGAAATTATCACTATAATTCGTTCCGATTGGCTCAACAATTTGAAATCTCGACATTTCACTGGTCGAAATGTTACAAATGTTAGATGAATTGAATAGTCATTGTCGGAGATTCCTACCACATGACAAACTAGGGCACTGTGTTGGGACTGGACAAATACATGGCTGAAGTTATCGTGCATACACACCTTCAATAGGGCAAGTGTGTCACAAAAAGCAATTTAAGTCGGGTATTATGTACAGTGCATTAACACGGTCATAAAACGAGGACCGTTTGACTGGTACTCATAAAATACCTATTGAAGCTATCAATTTCAATGCAAATTGGGCATACTTCGCAAGATATTCAGAAGTTTGAAGAGTTCTCCAAACAAAATGCAATTCAAATTGCATCCTAAAGTAAACATTCAAGTCTTTAGAATAACTCCTCAAAGTTTCAAGTTACAACTCGTCATAAATTTAAATCGTGAAATGTGCGAACTACCCATTCGCATTTGTGTGTACTTAACCAAACTTCACAAACTGTTGAGGCAAGTCCAAAGCACGATTTAGACAATTCTGCTGCAGTATCGCGTTATAATTGCTGCAGTTTGGGTATAATGAAGAGGAACGAGTTCGCCTAAGATTATTAGCAAATGCACAAAGAGGCGTTAACGAGATTGCGCTTAAAATCGCTCCGCTAACTCTACAAATTGAATTCGTTATATTAAAGCAAACCAGCGGTAATTGATCGAATCGAGGGGTCATTAGTGACCTGCTTATTCAGTGTGTTTCAAATTGAAGCCAGTTCAATCTGTTTCTCATTGCTTTAAGGCGAATAATGGATTGTTTTCCTATTTCTATTTCAAGAGGAGGAGTTACTATTGCCCTGGCGGGGTATTTCTTTTAACTATTTTTTTTGTAAATCTGCTATTGGTGTTGATTGTTCATAATATATTCTTCTGTAAATATATGTATATTTACTCGTGTAGGGACATTTTTGAAATCAGAAAAAAATTCAAATGACACAAAAAGAAAAAATGACTTCCATAAGAAAAAACAAAGTTGATGTTGTTTGACTGGAGACGACACTTCAAAATTAAAATTTAAAAGTAGCATCTAGTAGTGGGAAAAAAGTGGCCATAATAATGTGTCATTCATTTCGAAATATTTGTTTAAATAACTTCGGTAAAAAGAAACACAGTTTTGCAAAATTTCGTTTTTTTCCGGATATTTCCGAAAGTAGTTGGAATTTTTGCAGTTTCAAAACTGCATTTTCTTAAGCGACAAAATACGAAACTTTTCCAAATTTAACCCAACCTACCTATCTCTTACAGTTCCCAAGATCCCCATGGTGGCCCTCGAATTTGAATCAGCCTGTATAGGCACTTGGAATAAAAATAACACTAACAACCGTTTCAGTGTTTGCCCATACGAATTGCCAAATTCATGCATTTAAAAAAAAATTTATTTATATTTATTTATATTTGTACACCCCACCATTTTTTAATGAGCGCGGTCTAGACTTCGACGATAAACGGCTCATTTGAAAGATAATGGAGTTAGGATCGCGTGTCCACTAGTATTTTTTCCCGGTTTAGCATTAATATTATTAGGAGGAAAATACGCTCTCGTCATTTATGTATACATAATTACTTTTTTATTATACCTGAATCACAATATCCGTTTTAAACACTCAAATGCGTGCGAAAAAAAGCCTTTAAAACACACGTGCTTTAAAGTTGCTAAGTAACGATACTTCAAATATGACTTTTGAAACTGTCATCTGGGTGAAATAAAAAATCTTCCTAAGTCGCTTTCTGTAAATGCAGAACATTTCTTTGGCTTGTACCTATCCTTTGGTTGAAGCTTTTACAAACGCGCGTAATTGAGGGTATGCTTCCAAATCTGTTCCACTTTTTAGTCCCAGCAATAAGTGAAGTTTTGAATGAATGCACGAAAAGATAGAAGATTTAAATACCTTTGACATTTCCTTCATATATGCCAGCATTATCGATGCATTTAAGACTTTATTCGTAAGTAACTTCCTATTCATCCATGGAAACAACTTTTCATATGCTTGATAATAGGCTTTACTGGATTGAGATTTTACACCTACCAACGTTTGTGTTTAGATTTTACAACAAGCGATTTAATGGACGGTGTATTATCTTTTTCAACGGAAATCGTTTTATTCACAAAGACGACGATTTTTATCAGCAAACGTCAAGTGACATTTCCATGGCAATCGTGAAATTACGAACACCCAGCCCACTTAATTAGACATGTATTCGAGTATAACGAACGTCAATATGATTTCATTGAATTTCCTATTTTTAAATTATACTGCAGGTATAATAAAAAATACTATAAGATACACGTGTATAATTGGTCTTTAAAGCACTTGCAACGTTAAAGGCACTCCGCTTTGCGTCGTGCCCTTAAACTCGTTGCGCGTGCTTTAAAGACTTGATTATACACTTGTATCTTAATATACTATTTTGTAATATGTATCTCAAAACCCTGCTCAAAACGGTACTTACTCAAAAAAATGATCCAAAGTCCGTCGTGGATATCGAAGGGACTTTCGCGCATTTTTGGTGGCAGATCCAGTGTTTTATTAGCAATATGGACTCCACCATCAATAAGATCGGTGCCGAAG